AACGGCAGTTTTTTCCACATTGACACCATATGTTTCAAGTTTCTACCGTAATCCTACAGTAATAAAGAGAAATGAGCGATTCGTTTTATACTGCAAATCTAAGTTGAAGCCAGCTCTACAAAATGGTACCTAAAGCAAGGCAAAAGACTTCTTGGGAAGAGAGATATTAACGATCAAACGTTCGAAACATTTTTTTGGGACACCCTGTATATGCATTGATGAGCTCCAATCACACGCTTGTCAGGGCGCATTTTGAACTATGCGGCAGTAATACTTGCGTTGCCAAATTGTTGTAGGCTACAGATTTGGTTGAATGTTGGTTCGGGGAGGGGGGGGGGAAGGAGTTAGAATACTGAACATCAAAACGGCATCGTCCATACCCCACAGTCTAGCGGGCAGAGATTGCTGACGTTTTCTAACGTATCCACGTGGCATTTTGATGGCTAAAGAATGCAAAAAACCAGTATTTTCTTCCGCAGTTGATTACCCTTAGATTGAGTCTCTGACCTGCTGTACGCGTGGCTAATATGTTGGCAACAAGCAGCAACATGTTGGCGCTGACGCTGATACCTAACATGTTGATGCATGTTGCAAACATGTTGTTGCAGTTTCCAACATGCTAACCACACAGGTCAGAGACGCAACCCAAGAGTAGCAGCGACTGTGGAAGGGACCATACTTCAAAAAGGTTTCACTTTTCCAACATTTCTAAATGTCTGCAGGGACACCCCGCTATACCCATGGAAATAGCCTATACTATAACAGAACCTTCTTCAATCGAATACCTCAAAATAGGTAAAACCTTCATTTAACACGTTGACGACCGCTTGACACACCATGTGTGTCAAGCAATGACTAACACGTGGGACCGCTCGACACACATGGTATGTCAAGGCTTGAACTTCGTTAAAATGACCATTACCTTGGTACAAACTCATTCCACCAGTTTTCTTTTGCTCTGAATCTACGAATGGCTTCTATATTCTTTGCCAGACTTTCACATCTAATGTTTGTGTTCTGTAGATGGCAACACCCGCGATTTTATCTAGAAAACGCTGACTGGCCCGTGAAAGGTCTTGGTCCCAAAAAGCAGACAATCAAAAATTTGTGTGGCCGCCAATGTGTTAATTTTCCATCGTGCCAAATGCCACAAAATATGCTTGTTTTTATATTGTTTTGTCTGCATTCCAATGCAGACTTTTCTACTGATTTTTAGGTAAAGGGATTTTTGGTAAAATTTTGCGAAGCCGTGAGAGACTTTTTTTCAAAAATGCTCCAAATCAATGCAACGCGTGCCGGGCCCTTGACTCATTCGGGCAGCGCCTAGGCTGCCAACGTTCTTATATGAATCCGTGCTACACCTCATGCTTATTATTCAACAGCAAATTGGATTTAAAATTCCTCCTTTTTGGTAGAAAACAAAGTGATAACGATAACAAACAGGTCGGGATTTCGAGTGGCGTGGTGATATGAGACACGCTATGACCAGATCGAATAAAGGTTTGATCCTGCACCGGGCCAACCATGCCCTTGACCTTCCGAGGCCGGTAAATTGATACCAGAGTAATCTGGGAGGATAAAAGTGCTGACATGGTAATCGGCTGGCACTCACAAGTCATTGTAAAAGCTCGCACGCATACGTAGCCTTTACAACAACGAAGTAGAGTGCGTTCGGAGCATGCCCCCGGGAGGTATGAGAACACCGAAATCTTTGTTCTTTTATGCTTCAACAAACGAATCGCCGGATCTCAAAAAACGCTCTATCGAGGGTCGTTAGAGAACGCCCGCGCCCGATCATGGCCAGATGGTAAATTTGAATAACAACTGCAGTTTCTTTGAGAAGTTTCTTTGAGAACTGCTTGAGCTTCACACGAAATTAGTAAGTGCTTTATTCGACTGACGTTTCGGCTGAATCGCCTTCTTCACAGTCTGAAACCGTCGAATGCATGAGTATCCCTCAAAACCCGCATCAGAACTCAGAAAAGACGTCCAATGCGTTAGTAACCTAGAGTTACGAAAGTAAATGCAGAATTAAACCAGTGCTCACCTAAAATAGCTGATGACTGCTTGGCAGTAGACCGTATACCAGTTACTGAGCTCTAACTTACTGACTAAGTTAGAGCTCGGTAACTGGTATACGATATACGGTAACTTACTAACTAGCCTACCGTAGCTTCAGTAAACGGCGCTATCGTATGAAATAAATATGATATTCGGCATCGGCAGGTCGACCCCCCCCCCCCCCTATGCCAAGTTTTAGCGACATCCGTGATTTGGGCCATTACAGGGAGGCGTCCTCGCGCGTTATAAAAACGTGATGTTCGTGATCAACATACCAGGTGAGCTCCTGAGTCAAGTTTCAGCGAAATCCATGGCAAAAAATTGAGGCCCTGAGAGTCGAATAGCGCCAAATCCAAGTTCATTGAGCCATTCCTCACCAGATTTGAATCGCTATAGTATGAAACGGCCCGTTACATTCCCACGTTCTCTGTTGCATCAAAAGAAAAATTAGATTCAGGCCACAAACGAACCACTTACTCTAATTTAATTTCAAGTTCATTTAGAAAATCGAACCATTCTTGCTATGACGTGTACATGCTGTCAAGGACTGTTGCTCAGACACTGGGAAGGGGAGCCGCGGCCTCAAAGGCCTTTCCGGCCCATCCGCGGCCTTAATTTGTGGGCGTGGCCGGAGTGCGGCCGAGCCGCCGGACCTTAACTCATATCAATATTATTGCACCGGCCGAGCCGCGGACTGAATATGGCTTACCGGCTCAGCCGCGGCCTTAATGATGGGGGTCTCAGACACTGGGACCGGGCGAGCCGCGGCCTCAAAGGCCTTTCCGGCCCATCCGCGGCCTTAATTTGTGGGCGTGGCCGGAGTGCGGCCGAGCCGCCGGACCTTAATTCATGTCAATATCATTGCACCGGCCGAGCCGCGGACTGAATATGGCTTACCGGCTCAGCCGCGGCCTTAATGATGGGGGTCTCAGACACTGGGACCGGGCGAGCCGCGGCCTCAAAGGCCTTTCCGGCCCATCCGCGGCCTTAATTTGTGGGCGTGGCCGGAGTGCGGCCGAGCCGCGGACATTAATTCATGTCAATATCATTGCACCGGCCGAGCCGCGGACTGAATACGGCTTACCGGCTCAGCCGCGGCCTTAATGATGGGGGTGGAACATTGCAGCGGCTGAGCCGCGGACCAAAATATCTATAATGAAACTCCGGCGAGCGCGGCCGAAGTTTCATTATAGAGATTTTGGTCAGATAAGGTCCGCGGCTCGGCAGCTCCCAGTATCTGAGCTTACTTGCGTGATGTAGTGGTCATGCTGCCCTCAGTGTTCATAGCCTTCGATGTCTTTCCAATCTCCAAGGCGGGAACAAGATCAGTATGTTGTACAACTTTGGATAGCATCTTGTGTTGTCCAATGTTGAAGTCGGACTTGGTTTCCGAAGCCGCTATATCTGTGGCCTCAATTTTGCTTTATTATTACGTATGTTCTATGTGCCAGTGAATAAAAAAACAGCTCTATTGTATCCGAGCTAGAGTGAACTAGATGGCCCGACAACCAACTCCGGCTGAGCCGCGGCCCAAAAGCGGACGAGCCGAGGCTGTTTTCCGGCCGGGCCGCGGACGCTGCGAAATTCCAGCCGGAAAAGGTCCGCGGCTCGGCCGCTCCCAGTGTCTGAGTGGTTCTTACACAGCATGTACAGTATTCCCTTTATCGTAGCCGCAGTTTTGCGCTTTTGCAAAGCAAAAGCGCAAAACTGCGGCTACGATGAAGGGAATACGGTACATGCTTCGCGCTACGTTCGCTGGCCATGGAGTTTCCGACTGACTTTCATTTTTGTGTGCTTCGTAACACTGATGAATGCTATAAAGTCACATAGTAGTATGTAAGGTAAGCCCAAATTGTTAATAGACTGAGATTAAAGAAACTACATTATCTTGTTGAAAGCAATCAGTCAATAAAATTATTTAGGGACACTGAACTTCAAAGATACGTAGGAGGATTATGTGTACGGTGTCTCCCAAAAAATGTCACTGTTTTGTTGTTAATAACTCTCTTGCAATGAAGTTTTCGAGAAGCAGGTACTATGTTAGGTACTATGTTGTAGAGCTGTCAACTTAGATTTACGTTACAGATCGATTGCTCTCTATTACTATAGCATTATTGTAGAGACTTTAGGGTTTTGAGCCATGGAAGGCTATACTTTGCCTTATAAAGAAACGAATAAACCTGAAAACTCTCACACTGAGCTAATTAGTGTTGCAGTTTCTAAATGTGAACTCGCAACTTATCATAATGTTTCATCAAAAAAATATGCGAGGTAGGCAGTAGTGGCCGTTTTGCCAATGTTCCTTAAAAGTGCGCTTACACTGTTTAGAAAGCTTCGCAACCTTGTACGTAGTTGGGTATTGAACTCAGCGTCCATAAAAACTTATCACACAAGTCTTCACACTTTTTGAAAATTTACAGTGACACCACATGCTTGAAGAGTTTCTACCACAAACCTGCAGTAATGAAAAGCGATTGGTGATTGATACGGTAACTAAAGCTTCTCGAAAGACTTCATTACATTAGAGTTATCAGTAATCAAACAATACGCACATTTTTTTGGTACGCCCTGTACAAACTTTCAGGTTAGATCTATTTTAGTCAGTCAGCTGTCTTTTTGCCAAATAATTTGTCAAAATAGTTACGGACGTGGAAGCGCTCGAAAGAAATTGTTAAAGCTTGAGCAATTTATTGGGAAATCTATGACACATCAGTAGCTTGGCAATGCTTCCATTAGAAAAAAGCAACTGCGCAGCAAAGAAGCGTATTGTTCGTAATGCTTACTCGATTCATGATTAAGGCCCCAATGAAATAACAGCCAATTACTGCTCCAACGTCATGTGAGATGCTAAACAACAAGGAGTTCGAGAGGTGTTCATTTGCGGTAAATTAAAGGAACAGGAGAAATTATCGAACAGACACCACGCACAAAAAACTTACATTCAATCTCACGGAGCGCAAGTATGCACCAGTGAACAATGATGCTTCATATTCAACAAGAACGGATCTCAACATCAATCGGATATCTGAGCAAATGTCAGCGCTTTTGCACCGCAAGTACTATGTCTCGCTTGCTGCGTACAAACACAGCCTTATCTCTTGAGTTCTCACGATGCTGAGCGAAACTGGATATTTGTGACGCTCGCTCATCTTTGCTGTTTAGAAGAAGGATTCCAAAGTCAAACGATGTTTGTCCAGCGTTTTTGCTTAAACACTAGGTATAAATGATGCATGCTTGAGTAGTAGAAAAAATTTCCTCATGAAGCGCTCAGGAATTGTTCTTAAATGAAAAGGGAAAAGAAGCCAAATATGGAAGGATGGTTTACCCAAAGTAGTGATTCACATCGTACCTAGGGAATGTATTCTCAATAACTACCTAGAGTTTCCTTCAAGTAAAATTGAGTAATGTTAACCAGCTGCTCAACTTGCAGCAGGTATATTTACGGAGAACTCGCATACCCGGCGGCTTCACCTTCCCATATGTTCATCTCACGCTCTCTATTTCGTAATCAGGCTGCTCACTATACACTCCTTCATGCAGCAATTCCCAATTTCCCATTTTCTTCTTTGCAAAAAAACCCCGATAAAATTGGTAAATGCAATGTGTCTCTTTTTTTCAACAGCATGCGCTAATCCCCTTGAATGTTGTAGTTTTGTCAATACGCTCACTTAGCTTCCCGTTCCCCTTCCCGTGCAATCCTCTCACCCATGTCTCAGAGTTTGTAAAAAATCGATAAAATCAAAAGCCTTTGGTGATCCACAATGTCGGCCGCCAATGTGTCCTGGACGGCAACAATGGGTATTGACTGCAACGTACAGCGAAGTGTACTCTGACAGTGCCTTTCAAGCTGTGAAGGAATTCAACATTCTTGAGAGCCGTTCAGATCCCCGTCGTCTGGCTTTTTTAACAGCTTGACGGTCCTCGCTCCAAACGCGGCGTCGTGATCGCCCTATGGAAATCAAGAGCAAGGCCCAGCGAGTCTGCTCTAGAATGATTCGTTCAGCAAGAAGAGGAAAAAGAAACGCTGCACATCGGATTTAGCGTACGCGGGTGATAAAGAACGATGTCAGAGCTTCAGGTCCCATTTGGATTGAATAAAACGCACCCGTCTAGAGCAACAACTCAAACACTGGGACCGGGCGAGCCGCGGCCTCAAAAGGCCTTTCCGGCCCATTCCGCGGCCTTAATTTGTGGGCGTGGTCGGACGGCCGAGCCGCGGACCTTAATTCATGTCAATATCACTGCAGCGGCTGAGCCGCGGACCAAAATCTCTGCAATGAAACTCCGGCCGAGCCGCGGCCGAAGTTTTATTATAGAGATTTTGGTCAGATAAGGTCCGCGGCTCGGCCGCTCCCAGTATCTGAGCATAAAGAATACTTGCGTGATGAACGACGCATGGTCATGCTGCCCTCAGTGTTCATAGCCTTCGATGTCTTTCCAGTCTCCAAGGCGGGAACAAGATCAATATGTTGTACAACTTTGGATAGCAACTTGTGTTGTCCAATGTTGAAGTCGGACTTGGTTTCCGAAGCCGCTATATCGGTGGCCTCAATTTTTGTTTTTTTACTGTGTATGTTCTATGTGCCAGTGAATAAAAAATAGTTCTAATGTTTCCGAGCTAGAATGAACTAGAAGGCCCGACAACTAGATCCGGCTGAGCCGCGGCTCATCTCCGGCCGGGCCGCGGACGCTGCGAAATTTCAGCCGGAAAAGGTCTGCGGCTCGGTCGCTCCCAGTGTCTGAGAACACGCCATGGAGATTGCCTTATGTTCTGCACACAGTCGAATCATTTAATATGATCATGTGTGTCACTGCACGCACAATTCCACCTTTGGCGTTCTCATCCTGGATTAATGAAGCTAGCAAGCCCTCAAGTAAGTGTTTTCAATGTTGTTCTTTATACTCTTTCCTTTTTTGGTACTAATTTCCTCAAATTGATGTGACCGATAACAATCGGTAAGTCTTTTGCGTTTTTGCGACTGCAAATCCAGGATGAGGACGCCCAAGGTGGACTGTGTGTGCGATTACACACATGATCATATGAAATGATTGGACTCTACAACGTCAGCACAGTCTCAAAAACGCCAGCACAGTCTCCACGCTTTTCTCGACGCCGCTGAGTACATAAAGTATCGCATCATTTGCTGCAGAAACGAAGGCCACGAAAAAGGACGTGCAAAAGATGAATGATGTAACCTTTTCGTGGAAAAGTTTTCTCACGAAAGATTAAAGGCATTGGTTTTGCCGTCCACCGATCTCTCACACACTTGTCGATTCCAAGGTCGCACGGCTTAGAAAAGATAAGTTGAAAAGCAAAAACATTTTTTTAGGAAGAAACGTATTGATGGTTATGTGTGTTATCTGACAAGGGTTTAAACATTCAAATCGTACAAAATATTTTGCTTGAACAAAATATATTGCTAAAAGTACGCGTTAGCATTCTTCCTTGTCTGTAGGGTAGATAATGTCCAGCGTCACATATGTCATGTCATACATCAGGCCAATTTTCGATTCTGGAATGTCAATCTCAGTGACCCTTTTGCAACCCTGAAACTGATGTGTTAAGGTAGCTAGGGTGGAGGAGGCCACAAAATCGTAACGAACCGGCTTCACATTGCAAGTGTGCGTGAATCTAAGAAATGGCCTAATAGAGCCAAATTCGTCCTCGCCTCCTTTCACTATAAAATTGCCTTCCTTATTCGTCCTCTTTGAGTCAAGAAGATCGTTGGGGTCAACTGGAAGCGACAAATTAGTGTTATAATTTGTACTGAAGCTCACTTAGTTAAGGCTCTTGCGAAAAGGCCGAAAATTTTCAGAATTAAATTTTAAGAGGGTAAGGAAAAAGGGAAGAACATGAAGCCTTTCCTGTTCACACTATATTCTGTTAACAAGTTTATCTACACTTCAATGTTCAACGAGTCATCACCACATACAGAATAACTCACAAGTGTCTCTCTCCCATAATTCCACTAGCACGTCTGCCATTCGTCTTTTGTTACAAATAGTGGTGCCCTTTACCGTAACATTCTGCATCTTCGCATGAACTGTGACGAGCACTACACTCAGGAGCAGGAAAAACTTCATCTGTAACATGGATAGTAGGACGATGCAACGAGTTCATAAGCTGTTCACATACGTGTTTTTATGACAATAGGAATTCCTTCATACTACGCCACAGGACGCAGCGTGCGTGCGTGCGCCGCAGGAATCGCTGTGAAAATATACCTTCACTGCAACGCCTTTTCGCTTGATTACGTATCTATGAACGTGAACGTGCAGGAGATATGGAGATACATACCGTGTGTGCCCCAGAGAGGTTCCCATGTGAACCAGCGTGCGTACGTGGTGCGACGCTGCCTTTCGCTCTTTTTGACACGTTTATCCTGAGATTTCAACGGAAGTGCCCGAGGTTAACACGTTCAAAAGTGCGAAAGGCAGCGAGATGACGTGGTACCTATGGGAACCTTGCTGGGGAACAAACGATACATAACCAGCGAAAAGGCGTTTCAGTGAGCGTATATTTTGGTGCTATATGCAAGAGCGTTCGCATCGGGACCGCGCCGCAGTTTCCCGCTATTTGCACATTTTTGAATTGCGCTTACGTTTCTTTATATATTAGATTCTTGCAACGCACGCCGCGCACGCTGTGTCCTGCGGCGTAGTATGAAGGAACCCTAAGACATAATAGAGGTGAGGTATGGAACACTGTCTGTCGCATTTAGGCAATGAGATATATGCCTGAGAAAAAAGAGTGAGAATTATTGTATTCGATAAATCATGTCTTCTTATTGGTGTTAAGCACATGCTTTGGTTTTTCTTGTAATTCCCAAGCAACATTTTGTGTTGTAATTTTGCCGAAACCCCTTTGTTATTGCTTTCATTGTATGAATTTGATGACAGATAATTTGAAAAAATATGCTCCACAGCCTTGCTGGCCGTTGTTCGATCTCCCTTCATTCGCAAATAAGAATCACTGCAACGGAAATCGACTTACAAGGTTTTGCGAAAAGCTTATTGCAAAAAAAGGAGAACTTTCTTTAATAGTCCACCAAGATTCTTCTGTCGTGCCGCTTTTTGTTCATGCAACATCCAAGACAACTTTCGAGCCTTTAAAGCCTCTCTAAGAAAAGAAATGGTAGACGCCTCTCATGAAAAGGAGACCAGAGCTCCTTATGAGCACTCTTGTAGTCAAAATGCTCACCTCCCACCTCTAAAACAAGTTCTTTTCGGTCTTGAAATAGCATTTGAAAAAAGCTTAGTGTTTTAAGGTGAAGCATTGCAAGACAAGAATCAATTTCGGGACAAGCTAATAAGGTTTTGGGGTAATTGGGTAAGTGTCGTAGAAGGAAAATAAATCATGAATAAGTCGTATTTCTCACTATTTTTTCGTCTTAACTCAATCCTCGCCGTGTGCTACATGCAGGGTGTACCAAAAGTAATTACACATTCTTTAGTCGTTAACCTCCCTTCCCACAAAGTATTTTGCTTAGCTTTGAGAACCATTCGGTAGAGCAGGCTCTGACTCAAATTTATAGCACGCAACGTATCATCCACCAAATTTCATTACTGTAGCATTACGCTAGGAACTCCATAGAGTATATTTTGAGCAATTAAAAGCTACATTCTGCCCCGAAATGGATACATAATAACCTGAAGACTTTATCACTAGGCTAAACAGAGTTGCTGATTTTTGATATGAAAATCGCATTTCACCGTAAGGCTTTTTTTATGAGTTGTGCTAGATAAACCGAATGTTTTTTTCAGTGTTTTTTAAAGATGTGATTGAATCCGTGAAACGCATGAAGAAGTCGTAAAAAGTTGTCTACTGAATTCAGCGTGTTTGAAAACCCACTACACAATTTTCCAAACATTTTGAAACTTGTTTCCCAGACGGCCCACTTCACATTGATGCAGTTTACCGGGGGCTCCTACCGCAATCCTGCAGTAATGAAAAGCGATGAGTGATTCGCATTGTGTTGTATGCTGCTACTACTGAATGGTACATGCTCTACAGCATTGTACATGAAGCTAAGCAAACGACTGTGTGAAAATAGAGTTACCAACATTTGAAAAGTGTGAGAAGTTACTTTTAGAGCATCTGTATATGAGAAAATAAGAAGCAAGCACTTGCACCATCATCTTCGTACTTTATATCAACGACTAGTCATCATCAGCTCACATAACTAAATCAGTGGTGGTTGTGGTAGTTTTTCATGGGAAACAAGTTGATTGAGTAGTGAAATCCATTATATCACTGCAAGTTATAGATTGTGGAACTATACAGGGTGTCCGTAAAGTATGTTTACACTGTTTGATCGTTAATATCTTTCTTCCCAACAAGTCTTTTGCCTTGCTTCAAGTACCCTTTTGTAGAGCTGGCTTCAACTTAGATTTACAGTATGGAGCGAATCACCGATCGCTCTTCATTACTGTAGGATTAGCAAACTTGAAACGTATGGTGTTAATGTGGAAAAAGCTGCCGTCTCAAGAATTTTCAAGAAATGTGAAAACTTGTTTGATAGGGTTTTTATGGACGCTGAGTTCAATACTTAACTATTCACAAGATTGCAAGCTTTCTAAACGGTGTAACCGCACTTTTTAGGAACATTGAGAAAATGGCCGCTACTGCTTATCTCGCATAACTTTTTAATGAAGCATTACGAAGTGTTGCAAATTTCACATTTAGAACCAGCAACTCTAGTTAGCCCAGTGTGAGAGTTTTCAGGTTGTTTCGGTTTCTTTTTGGAACAAAATATGGCCTTTCATGGCTCAAAACCCTCTTTGAAGTTTCTACCGTAATCCTACAGTGATGAAGAGCGAGCGGTGATTCGCTCCATACTGTAAACCTAAGTTGAAGCCAGCTCTACAAAACGGTACCTGAAGCAAACCAAAAGATTTGTTGGGAAGAAAGATATTTACGATTAAACAGTGTACACATACTTTACGGACACCCTGTATAATCAGAAAAACTGAAACGAAGCTGAGTGCAGGATGCCGGCAAGGCTCCAAAGACTAGGAATACATCTAGCATAAATGGCTAAAATAAGGCAACGGCAATCTCTTTGCTCCCATACCATTTGATGTTTCTAAAGACTCTCTTTCTGACACGTACTATTTTTTCTAAATGCTTGCAGGCGGCGAGTCCCGATCAATTGCCTATTTACGTATGCTGCATAAGAAAGTATCATTACAAGGTGAAATAATCTTCAAACATACACCTAGCGACACAAATACCATTATCATTTAACAAGCGGTTGCCTCATTGTGGAAAGGAAGTCTTGCGACAGTACTGTAACTCATATTCCATAAAAAAATATCTACAACATTAATGAAAGCAATTGGAAGCAGAAGAGCAAAAAGCAACTAAAAACGGTTGCTATATCGTACAAAGAATAGCAGAGAAGCTCGAAATTATTGATTCGGAATGAAACATAAAAGTAGAAATACTGCCTTCCTGATTTTACACTGCCGTTAACAAATATTGGATAAAGACCAAAGGTTATACCCGTTATCTATAGCTTTTTTTGAACTGCTACTTCTGAAGGAAGAAACAATTTTTTATATACATTCTCATTGCTATTGCTCATATCTTTTGGAAGCTCTTATTTTCTAGTTTTTGATGAATACTTTTCATGGAGCTTTGTTTACTTTGTGGTTCTGTACCTTGGAAGGACAGCAAGTGAAAACTTTCCTTTTTGCTCTATTGCCGTAGAGTCAGCAAAAAAAGTTTTTCTCGAAACATAAAGAGTGTCCCATAGAGGTGTGCACACTGTTTGATCGTTAATCTCTTGATTTCATGTCTTTTGCAGAGCTTGGGATACCATTCTGTAGGCGAGTTTCAACAAATCTACAGTTCGGAGCGAGTCGCCGGCTCTTCATTATGTAGGAGTACGGAAGGAGTGTAGGAGTGAATCTAAGCATATCAAGCCAGGCCTTCCGATGAAAAAAGTCTTTAAAAATTTGGAAATCTGTGTAGCAAGGTTTTTAGGCATGCTGATTTCACTACACAACTTTCTTGCCAGTTCTTCGAGCTTTTTGGTGGTGTAATTAAATCTCTGACGAACAGTAGAAAAGCAGTTGTTACCCTAAGCCTGGACTAACTTATGAAAGAAGCATTACAGTGAAGTGCAAATTTCATGTTTGAAGTCACTCAGAGTAGCTTGGTACAAGATTTCTGGTCTGTCCGGTTTTTTTTTGAGGCTATGGTCCTTGATGGCCAATCCTTGTCAAAGTTCCTACTGCAGTCCTACAATAATGAACAGAGATCGTCAATTCGTTTCATGTTGTAAATTCAAGTTGGACCTCGCTCTACAGAATAGTACCTCAAGCTGGGAGAAAGACATTCAAGAGCTAGTGACGATCAAACAGTGTGCACACTTTTTTGTGAAAAATATGGACTGGCCTTCTGTTCCTTTAGTAGAATCCCAGGTTGTCGCGGCCATTCGGAACGAAAAGCATATCACTAGGTGCGTCTTGTTGAGCTGATTCCAATCTAACTTCCGCGCATGGTTTTTGGAAGATAAGGAATTGTTAGAATCCAAATTTGGCAATGCTACACTGCCACAACTCCAGTGGAGGTATCCGTCAATGAACTTAGGGGGTTTACTACCAGTGGGTAAATGAAAACCGAGCCACTGGGTTGAATCGATATTCACAAAAAGCACTGCTGAATTCGCGAACCACTAGCTTTGTGAATACCGATCTCGTGTTGAGCATCCAGAGTTTTCTGGAACCCACCGGGTTCGTTGATGAATACGACCACAAAAGTAATTGTTCAAAAGATCATGCTGCTTGTGTATGCGTGCATACCTTCTAGTCAGTACATCTAACACCGTTTAAATATGCTTTCCCAAGCTGTGTTAGAAGCAGGGTTAGAACCCTAACAACTTTACACATTTAATCGCCCATTTGCTTCCGCAGGGTCGCGCAGCCGATACAAAGCGTAGACAGGGCTCGGCACGAGGTGGCTAGTTGAAAATGCAAAAAACGAAGTCCCCCCCCCCCCCCCTAGAATCCCAAAAAATTACGAAACCCCCTTTGTCATACTACAATAGCTAAACAGAAAGCTTTATTTTGAAAAATGCATGCAAAGTGTGGAAATGAGATCGAATGCTTCGAGATCGAAAGGAGAGTAAGTGAAAAGGCTTCGACGAAGTTACTAGATGTAAACGCGAAAAAAAGCTTCTGTATGGATGGTTTCTTCTAGCGTGAC